CTTCATCAGGAAAGGGGAATAATATTACATACTTTCTTAAACACAGAGAATTAAATTATCTTAATTGAAACCAGGTGTCAGTTGAAAAAAATTATGAAAATTGCTCAAATGCTGTACAAGAGTCAGAGATATCACCAGTCCATGAGGAATGCCAAGGGCTACAGTTCCAATCAGAGGAATCATGGGAAATCGCTTGTGTCGTCCTTCAGGAGTCATGACCAAGGAGGACAAGAGCTCTGACCTACCCTCTCTATGCTTCAAACGACGTCATAAATGCATCCATTTCTGCATAGGAATGTCACATCAAGGAACTCATCAGGGTCCCCATGGGGCCAGTGTCCTGTCTGAAAACTAAGGGTGATCTCATTCACGACTCCCTATCCTAGGGTTGAAATCCCATAAATATCTCTGTAGTTACAGATCACAGAGAAGATAGGAGAGACTGTGAGACACCTGAGCTGAACTGACCTCAATGCTCTCACAAATGAGGATCCTGTATATCTCCTTCATGTCTTTTGGGCTTCTCATCTAAGAGAAACCATGTGATATCTAAACACCTGTATCTGATTCATGGTAGGAAGCAGGAAGGCAGGCATTTTAGAGAGAGAGTAGAGGATCTGGAGAAGGGAAAGAGAGGCTAGAGTAGGGGAAAGGGGGACAAACATGATCAAGATTATACACGGAATGTAATTATTATGCATTGCAAAAAAATAAAAACTTTAACAAAATAATGGAGGCTTTCCTCTTCGGGTCCTTCGGAGAAAGAAGACACCAGTGCCAGGACCAAAAGCCCTCCCTCTGTACTGATCTTGTGGTCTCTGTGGGTGAGCTCAGAAAAATGTCAAACCCAGGGATTCCAGTATCACATGCTCCTGACGTTTGCTGTGTCCACAGACCTTACGCAGGGCTGGGTCTCACATACATTGCCCACAATGGAAGGACAGATGCCATGCTGTAATTCCCTGCACATGTCTGTCTTAGAAATCATATGAAACCAAGAGTATTCTTTTAAAAGTGAAATTCATCTCTCAAAGATTGAGGGTTTTTTTGTAAGAAAAACAGAATTAGAAATAAGATCATGTAAAAATAAGAATGATGAACCAGGTGTGATAGTCCACAATTGTAACACCAGCACTCAGAAGGCTGAAACAGGAGGATCACTAGGAGTTCAAGGCCAGCATGGGCTACCTAGTGAGTTCAAAGCCAGCCTGTCTCAATACAGCAAAACTGAATGAGTGAATGTGAAGGATGGTATTTATTATAATGATAAAAAGATTATGATAAGGGTGGTGGTGATGATTATGATGAAGCTAACTAATGTTTATTGAGCATTTTCTGTGAAAAAAGTCTGACCTAAGCATTCATTTGCATTTTATTTATTTATTTATTGGTACATTTTAGTTATACAATACATTTACATTTATCACTGGGTGTTTGTACCTGAACATGATGTATCTTAGTTCTTATTTTTTCTCCCATTACCTATGCGCCATTCACCCCGACCACCCTGCCTATTTACACAGACTTTGATTCAATTTTTCTTTCTTTCTCATGATTTTACCTTTCCCTTCTTCCCTTTCACCTTCCCCTCCTGCCACCCCCAAACCCTTGGACCTTTTCCTATTTCAAATTATCAATTATTCATTTTAATCATTTTCATCCTTATTTACACTTTCAGTTTCTCACGCTAGAGAA